TTGGGGAAACCTGCAGTCAGCTGAGACTGAAGAAGTCACTTGGATGAGTTTCTCCCACAAAACGCTACGTCCAGATGAATAGAATCAACTTTTGGAGATTTACTTTCCTGGATAATTGAGAATGCATCAAGACACAGATGAGTTCATTTTCCCATGCCCTGTACGAAGCTTTCTTATGTTGCTCTGTGACTACCTTGTTTTGAAATTCTGTATTGTTGTAACATTATATCTGCTGCTGCAGAGGTCCACACTCTCAAATGGACCCATCATAAATAGGTCAGGGGATTCCCAGTCCTATTCCAAGCAAGTGAGTGCCTACACTCATGCAAATAATAAGCACAGGCTTATAACATCACCACTATGGAATTACAGATAAGAGACAGGTTACACGTGACTATAGATAGATTTTCCTCATTTACCTTTCTGGGCAATTCATTTGGTTATTCATGCTATCACAAATCCACGGCGCCCAAAGGAGTGCGTCTCAGACAGAGAGCTTTACTACCCTGAGTCAGGCCTTTCAGGCAATTAAATGATTGCGCAAAACTCACCTCCTTATTTTAGTTTTAACTCTATTTCTAGATTCCATGACAAGTTGCCTGGATTATATATATGTATGTATATATATATATATTTTACTAACACAATAACATTCTTTGAGGAATTAGAAATGTTGTTTCTATATGTTTATCTTTTTAAAAATTAAAAAAAGACTCTGTGACCTGGCTGTAGCACATGATATGCCTCAAAATGAGGCAACCTGGCCATTTTGATTAGTGAAGCTTTGGAATGGCTTTAGTTTGGCCCTGGAGCCTGAGAGACCATATTTAGGTAAAATTTATCCCCAAAGCGCGAGCGCACGGTTACTGGCTGACAGCCTCAGCGTGGTATCTGAGTTTACTATATATGGGCAAGGCCAGGCAGAGCGAGAGCTGCACCCGCTTCCGTGTTTGTGTATCAGGGAGGGTAGTGCAAAGCCACGGGCGCTTTTCTGTCTTCACTGTTTCATTCATCTGGAAGAGAAAGGCCAAGCCAGAGGCAGCGGAGAAAAAATGCCGTATGAACTGAGTAAGTCTGTCTCATTTCTGTGTCAGCAGCAGGGCGGGAAAAACAGGAACAAGGCTCTTACTTCGCGTGACACTAGTCGGCAGATCTGCTAGTCATCCAGGTAGCAGCTAGCTAGCCTCGCCCATAGCTGCGTAATTTTGACACTTCACCCCACACAAGAAAGACAAAAAAAAAGGCTTCGTTCATGCAACGATTCTGGCCGGTGTAGTGCACACCTGTGTTTGGAGAGCTCGGCGTGTTGTGCAGATGTTTTGGCACTCAGTGCAGCCGCTTCATGCCACAGCCAGTGGCTTTTTAGTTAGCTAGGTTGCTAGCCTCAGTCAGGAAATAGTTGTGCTCCCATTGCTTTGTTATGACATGTCCACAGAGGCTGTCTGCCAGTGAAGCACTGAGGAAGTACTGAAGTACACATTTGTCGCTGGTCGAATGTCCTAACATATTTAACGCTAC